AATGGTCAGTTTCTGATCTGAGAGTAATTCGTTGATAGTGAAATTACATAGGAATATTATAATATCTTTACTAACAAATTTAATAGTTTAATAAACAGAGGAAGTAGAATCAGCTTTTCGGAGAATGATCAATGGCCATTTTTACATAACAATAGTTTACAGTATTTTCATATGTCTTATCAGACATAAAGATAGATATGTAAACAGAAAACTAAGTTAAAGGATCCCTATGCGATTGACTAAAAGACAGGAATGTCGGATTCCAGTATTTTAATCTTGGACCTAACTAAAAGAAAACAAAGATAGGAACATAGATAGATTCAAGGTCAAACAAGGAAAACAAAGAAAGAAGGTAAAAATTTGGCTGAGAAATGAGAAATTGGTTGAATGATTAATCGTAATACATTTGAACGGTTAATTTTACATGAATTCAATTTATTAATCTGTTAAGATACAGTAAAGCAAAATATCAACCATTTGAAAGTTTCTTTTATGGAATTTCTTGATTACAAAAAAAAAAAAAAGAGAAAAGTGTCTTTAAAGACATATTGTAAGAACATAAAATTAAATGAACTAAACACTTTCAGAAGATCAAATTTGGCTATGTGCGCATAATCCACAGATTTCTGAGATATTGTTAATATCAAACTTGGCCATCTTCAAATGAGCCTATAGATATGAAATTGTTTCTAGGAGAAACTGTTAGTTTTTGTTACAAACTGAATACTTTCGATGTTCTGACAACTGTAGACGCATCAAACAAATTAATCTGTGCTTTTATATTTTGAGAATCCGGATGAAACACTGTATCTAAGTTATCGAATTCCGGATGAAAGACTGGATAAGTAACCGATTTACGGATGAAGGATTGGATAAGTTACCGAATTACGGATGAAAGACTGGATAAGTAACCGATTTACGGATGAAGGATTGGATAAGTTACCGAATTACGGCAATTGCATCAAAAAATCATCCCTTTTAATTAGAGAAATGACAAAATTATGGATGGAACGTTAGGTGAATTGAGGGGGCGCCAATGGTGTAGCGGTATCATTGCACCCTCCCATGGTGCAGACCCGGGTTCGACTCCCGGTTGGCGCAGATGGTTTGCATCTTCCTTGGATCGTTTCCTCATTTAATTGCGGTATTTCGATATTTGCATGCGGTTTTATATACTAATTAGAATAGTGTTGTAATAATTGCTTCAATGCTCTCTTTCATATGATTCCTCCTTTTCTTCCTTTTTTTTTTTTGTTCATTAATAGTATTAGAAAGGTAATAAACATATTACTAAAAAAGAAAAAGTGTGCTTCATGTCTCTGATCATATATCGTATCATTCAAAGCAAAAGATGTGTTCTATTGATCATATGTTATCATATCATACCACACTATTCATTCATTTCATTTCAGTCACAGTAACAATTAAAATGTTTAAAACTAATTATGTCAAATTTTCAAAAGATATTTTTGAAAGAATGAGCTTCCTAAATAAAAGTTTCCAAATTGATGTCAAATACTTTATCAAATGCTTTATCTGCTAAAATGTTTCATATATCGAAAATATTCAGCCATTGCTTCAAATGCTCGAACTATTACCTTCTGCTTATCATTTAAATGATTTTTCATTGATTCTTTAGCAAAGCTAATTATTATATGATTACAAATTCAATCATTCATCATTCATACTAATCTAAAAAAATTTTTCGTATGGTTAGTAATATAATAAAATAAGGATTCACTTCATATAATTAAATTATCAATTTTTATTATTAAGATAATGATAAGGATAAATGAAAAGAAAGCAATATAATGATGTTAATATATATTTGTTTAGCGTAAAATATGGATTAAATTTGAAATTAAATATGAAAAAAAGTTTAAATCAAATGTTATCATTATCGTATTGCAAATTCATTTGGCACTCTTAAGTACTTTAGAGTGTATATTCCAGGAGCATACATTCTATAATTTAAAAAAATGACTTACTTAAATAATGTTATTTTAAAGGTTTTTTAAAAGTTGGACCCAATTGAATTTAACAAAAGTAATTAAACCATCAATTCTATCAGTTCTATTAAGATATGATGAGAATGATGATATGATTTTTATTTTTAATTTTATTTTATTTATGATGAGGTTTTACTTTAGCTATAGTTGAAAAAAATTTTTTTTCGTTTTCTTTTTTTTTAAAATTTATCAGTCATAACGAAGCTATGTTCCTAATTTTAAGCAAAATGATAAAAATTTTGAGATATGTTTCACTCGTTCGAATTGTATAAATATGCAGTTTCTAAAATAAAAATGAATATTTAAAACATTAATAATTTAGTAGATAAGTAAGATTATTTAGGATAATTCTAAATGAATAAATACTATAAATTTAAATGATTTAAGTTCAGTATTTGAATATTTCATTTTAAAATGTTCAAACTTTTCGTTCACAAGAAAGAATTGAAAAATTACAGAATTTTCATATTTAATTATAATTACCCACTTTCCTTTTATTCAACTTTCTCATGCATACTATTTAACAAATAATCATTTTTTTTTAAATATAATTAAATCTAGCAATTCAATTATTTTTTAATAATTTTAATCATAGTTATTTTATAGATAAAAAAACAAAACGCAAACAAAGTCATAAATGGCAGCATACAGTAAATAATTTAATTTAAATATCAACTTTGCTTATCAACTTAAATATCAACTCTTATTTAAAAGAAAAAAAAAAGAAACGAAACATTCTTGTTTATAATTATATTTAATTAGTTTTTTCGTTTTTGTCGATCAAATGCTTGAACGGAATATGAAATGCAGTAATAATTCCAATAAAAATAACAAATACAATATTTTTTTAAAGTAATGTTGGTTTGTCATATAATTTATATGCAAAAATTTTGCAATCAAACAAATACTTACAAAAAAACAAAAAAAAAAATGATTAATTAAAATTTATAATTGATATTTTAAACAATATAGTATTAAAGTTTGATTAATATGCAGAAAAATTATTAATGTTTAAAGAATTGAAAAATTATAAATTGAAACGAGCTTATTAAGCCGAAACAAAATTATAATCGAGTTAAAAAGTTTTTGAAGAAAACAGCAAAGTTACTCAAGGAAGAAATGATATTTTATGAAAAGTATTCATAAAAAATTTCTGTTAAGTTAATCTATTTTGCTGGATTATTAAAAGAAACAAAACTAAGTTTTTCTGAACTTTAAATTATTTGTTTTTCACATTATATATATTATAATTTAAATACTATAAATGTATTATAAAGGATGTAGATATTTTAATTTAATCACTATTTTAAACATTCATATTTAAATTTCAATAAAGATTAAAATTTTTTTGATTTAAATGTCATAAATATATTAATACTGAAATAGGAAGAAAAAAAATGAGTGAAAAATGTTAGTAATTTGATTAGTACAATTGTCGTTGTCATAACAGCAAATAAACAATGCAAGGCAATATATCATTTTCATCTTTTTTCTTAATCATCTATTCTTTTTTTAATTTGTGTTTTATTATAATTTATTTATGCTTTATTATAATTTTATACTTTCTTTTTATTTCCCTAAATTAAACTGCTAATTTATTAAAAAATTGCAATAAAAAAAAAGATATATCAACTTTATTAGAATACATTTAAAATCAAGCCGAATATTCGTGTGTAAATGGCTATTATTATTATTATTTGCCACATTTCAAAAAAATTAATTATTTCAAGTACTGTTTATTTTAACACGAATTTTAAATTAAAAATTTAATATAAAAAATAAGAATTTTATAGTCAATTTATTTATTAAATGCGTAATTTAGCTTGCAAACAACAATTGTTAAAAGATAAAAAAATTGATGAAAAATTGTTGGAATAAAAGAAGAATTCTTTTAGAAGAAGAAAATGAAATTCTATGACAGTTTTTAATGTTACAAAAAAATAAAGAAAGAAATTATTCCTCTTTTTTCTTTTTTTGCTTACAATTTAAGCTGAAATAATTACCGGATTAAATTAATGAATTAGAATTAATGAGTTGGAGTGAATTATTTGAACTGAAATAAAGTGAAATAAGTGAATAATGAAAGAAATGAGTTAAATAATTGTAATGATAATGTCAAACAAAATGTTTGCAAATTGATTGCTTCATCAATTGTTTATAGATTAGAACTATTAGCACGTTGTTTATGCTTAAATTTTGATTAATATTATTAATAGAATGGCAGCAAAGTACCATTGTTATTTTGTAAAATTATTGGGATTGGAAAATATTTTTTATATTTAATTTTTATTAAATTAAATTAAATATCATTATATATTTTCTATTCCCTTATTTTGAAGTGACATTAAAACAAATATGTAAAGTTTTAAAATTAAAAAACATTTCTGTATTTAATTCTCATTAGATTAAATTACTTTTTTTCTGTATGGTTTGAATTTGCGAACTGTCTTACTCTATGAGTTTCATTGCTTCATATTATGGCCGCGTTAATTGTAATATGTTTTTGGATTTAATTTGAAGGAAAAGGTGGAAATTTTAGAGTTGTTGGTTAGGAGGTTGTTCTCTCTGTTGACCTATCGCGGCTTGACTTTTGACCTTGGCTGATGTTTTATTGAACTTCCTGAAGAGAAGAATGTAGAAGTAAAATGAATGAATGAAATGCTATAGCAATAGATGGTCCGGTTCAGAGATAGCAGAGTGTTGACGGTATATTTAATATAAAAAAGAATAAATTGCTAGTTCAGGTGTCTTCTATCAAATCAGTCAAAGTCAGATAAAATATTTTATATTTCGGGTTTGATTATTTTGTAAATTTAAGCAATTATATTTTGTTTTCTATTTAAAAAGAAGAATGATAATTTTGAAAATTTTTTGCTGCTTATTTGTGTGCATTGATATAATCATTTGAATGCTTTGTCATTGTTATCTCCTATTTATTGATAAGAACAGCAAATGAAGCATTGTTTTAATTTTAATAACCATTTAGCTGCTATGAATAGTGAGCAGTTGCAAGATTGGCTCACTGATTTAAACGAACGATGGAAAAATAGTATAGAAAAGCGAGCACTGAAAGATGTGGAATATGAACGAATACAGTTAACTCGTGAAACCTGCAAAACTCAGTATTTAATCAACTATCTCAGTTGTAATTACACTGATGTTGACTTGGTTCAACCAGTTGTAGCACAACTTCTGGCATGTTATTATCGTGGAGGTTTTTTTACTATATGTTTTTGAACTAATATGACTTAAATATGTTTGATCAGTTTGTTGATTATATTTCTTTTTTTTTTTTTTTTTTTTATGAAGAAATAAATAAAAATATAAAAAATAGTACTTGCTAGGCATCATTTTAAGTTTCCCTACTGCGGAATAATTACTAAGAAAATATTTACGTTATAAAATATTTACGATTGTGATTTGACATTCTTAGTAGTATCGGTAGATGTAAATAGTCAAATATCAATTATTTTTTATATCCTTTTTTATCATGCAATTGTAAATTTTCATTATCAGCATACTAAACAACTGCTTCACTAAACTAAAGAGATGCATTTGCATAAAGCATGTAAGTGTGATATAATTTTAAACATTACCGTTTTTTACATAAAATACCTTTCATTTTTTGTAGACAGTGAAATAATTCATGAAGGAAAAGGTAATATTTCAGATTTTCTCGGATAACCTTCTTCAGGTATATTACGTTATTTCGTATTGCAATGCATTCCATCATTAATTCATATCTATCTTTTGGCACTAGCTAAGCGTCAAAAGAAATCAGTTTCCATATTTGAAACGTTCTTTCTCGCTATGTTTAATGAAGAAATACTTGCTGGTGGTATTCTATCTGAATCAGTAACAAAAAAAGTAGAGGAAGTAAGTATTTTTGTGAACTAAAGTCAAATTTATTGCTTCTTTGGTGTTTGCTTTCTACATTTGAAGTTCTATTGTGTTAAAACATTTGATTATATACCTTTATTTCGATGTGACTAGGAAAGTTTTATTGACGTTGGTCAATATTTGAGGGAAAAAACTTTTGAGGATCTGCATGCTACCAACAAGCCTAATTTAACTATTCACTTTGAACTAGGGTGATTAGCTCAGTTTAACGAATCACTTTGGATTGGATTTAATAGTTAAGTTTGGTGTACATTAATTTCTATCATTTTCTTAATAATTTTGCTATATGGGTGAACTGTAACTTAACTATATTACTGCAAAAATGTAACTTGTGGTGAAGAAGACTTCCTAAATCTTCTTTGTTGTATTATTAAAGAGTTATATATTCAAATAAGGATATTCAAAACACTATAGATATTACGCATTAGATGAGTTAAAACAAAATGAAACAATGTTTTTCCTGATTACTATTTGTTAAACGAGTTCATAATGCCATTTAACATCAAAATTTTTCTCGAAGTGTGTCTCTAATAAGTTCATGCTTTAATATTTTTATTTTTTCTCTTCTCCTTAACATCTAATCCGTTTTTGATTCAATCTATATATTTTTAAGGTCCGAATACCATCCATACGTTTTCCGAGTGTATACCATGATCCAAAAAAGCTCAGCCTTGCTTCAGATATTGCCTTAAAATCCGGAGCACCTGCATTTGTACAAGCAACAGTTAGAATTTGCAATTCTATATATATCCTTCTTAAAATTTTGGAAACTTATGTTTTTTTTTTTCTTCTTTACATTATTTAATTTGCAGAAAACTGTACGGATTGGTCCTTACAAGTCGGTAGATAGGATTTTTCCGCAGAATAGACAAACAGTATTGACTCGTCTATTAAAATCCGTAAGTTTTTGTGGTCGTTACTTGTAAATGGTAATTTAAAATATAAGTGGTAGATTTTTGAATAGAAAGTAAATAACATCTTTACCTATTATACACCTCACAAATTATTTTCATTTTTTTTTTTTTTCAGGTGAACGGGTGTCTCTGTAGGTTATCGCGTGATGTGATATGTCAGGGTATATGTTTGAGCACTATAGCTCTTTGTCAAAGTGGATTTTCTTTTCGCGAGACTGCTTTAGTGTCACGAGTTTTTGGCAGCAGTTTTCATCATAAAGAATTTGATGACTTTTCAAAGTATGTTGGAATTGTTGATTGTACACTATTTTTACCTTTTTTTTTTTGTTTTATTCTAAGTTTCATTTAATACATTTCTAAGATTTTAGAATAAACCTGATCTTTAGTATATTTTTTGCTTGTTAGTACGTTGACAATATGCAGTTATAATTCCTCATATATACCTACGATTTCCACATCTTTCTATCGTCATTTTGATAGTAATAATACCTTGTTCATTCGGATACTTGCCATGGCTTTAACGTGAAAAGCAAAAATAATCTTGCATAATTGTTAGTTTGCAGTTGTGTTTGATAAATTTGAAAACTTCTATATTAATATCTATATGGTTGTAAATAGAGAATGGCTTCTTCTAATCTAAAAAAGTAAAAAAAGTGGTTGCAGAAAACCAAGATTACGAATCTCGTCTCAATATCTGTTAGAATCTTTGAATGGTTTATACTTTGCATTATTCAATGGTACGCCAGAATTAGCTGTTCAGGCTGTAGACGCTGTACATCAAAGAGCTTTGTATGAATTCTATGCAGATGTCATTTTGGTATGTTTCATTATTTCTTTAAATTCTACGCTGACTATGGTCAAACCGTTGAGTAACCGTATTTCTTTTACTCATTTTTTAATACCACTTGAATAAGTTTTATTTATTTTATTACAGGTAACGAATAGTATTAGTGAGACCCTGCTTGAAAGTAACTTTCATAAAAATGAAGAACTGACAGCCCAGTGGGTGCGTCCTGGAAAATTGGATAATCATAAACGAAATGAAGTCGTAACAAATGCTTCCTTGCGACTAAAGAAAATGCCCGAGGACATCTCACCTGTTATAGATGATAATATAAAAGGATTTAATTTCTCTGACAGTAAGTTAATTCTTCTAGTTATGTTTCGTTCGCTTCTAAGTTCTAAGTTATTGAATTGATTTCTGCTATTCTGCAGGTGATAACTTTTTTTATCTAGTCGTTTCTTTGGACCTTCATTGGATTATAAGTAATTCATGTCATCGGTGTTCTGTCACCATTCTTTTTACGTATCATGGATATCGTTTGCTTCTCTATGAGTTTTTTTTTATCATCCTCAATTAATCAGAATTTTTTCGAATCTCATCATCCCAGCGATATATTTCATGTGAGGAAGCAACACATTTCACTATAAACAGGACGTTTTGATTCTGTCATACATATTTGGATCTATTAATGTGAATTTATTGCTCTTCTATAAAGCTTGTTTTCGCATATTTTGCGACCAAATTATATATTTTGTCTGCTTTTTTTTTGAAGTTATGGCTTAATTATAATTACTGCAAATACAGGTGTTGAAAATTTCAAGAAGAAGATTGCCGTGAAAGTAGAACAGCGTAAATTAAAGCGCCAACTCGGACATTATAGAAGATCAGTGAGTGATTTTTTTTCCAGTAATATTTGTATCAATAAACTTTACACAACGATTAGTGTGCATCATTCCAATAAATTTATCCTGAAAACGCATGAAAGTCCTTGATTCCAGATAGATTGTTGAGGTGTCCTGGAACTTACATTAGTATCATATTTATGGGGGTAAAAAATACATAACACATGCATAGCAACTATTTCATTGTGAAGATAGTAAAGTTAAAAGAAGAACTGCTCTAGGAGAATAGTGATGGAAATGCAGGTGATATCGAATTGGGCCCAATCAATGAAGAATCAGTTACAAATGCAGCACCGAATTCTCCAATTTTTCCTGCTACTGATGAAGCTACATGCCAGGATTCGCCGCAGCATCATTCCATATCAAATGGTTTGGCAAATTCTGATAATGTATCGGTTTCGTTTCGTCAAGATCAGGTTAATGAAGCATCATCAAGACCAAAGAATGAATTAACCGACTTTTCGGTCCCGCCGGATGGTAATTTATCTGAAGTAGTCAAAACAGCATCTATAGAGGATGGTGTACACGACTTGACAAAATGGCATGGCAATATTCAACATATCGATAGTGCAACTGATGCTTTTGAAGACGCTTCATCATAAAGATTTTAAAGCGTGTACTAAATTCAGTTCATCAGCAAATTTAGGAGTTAGGAGTTTTGTATTTCCAAACTCAAATATTTTAGGATTTAGGATAACTTGTTTTGTTTAGGAATGGTTGCAGCAGTTTACGCAATTTCTTAATTTTTTACGTATTCAGTTTTTTGGTGTTACTGCACTCATACTATTCTCTATCTCTCCATATATATATATATATATATATATATATGTCTAGTAGTTATGATCAGATAGCTAGGTATCTTCAAGAATGATCTTTTTGAAAACTTTTCTACTAATCATACTTCCTATGTGATTAACTTAGCGCCTAAAATCGATAACAGCAACATAGTGCCCGTCACTCTTCCACCTTATATTATTTATACACCGTATATTAGTAGAGCTTTGAAGGTATCTCAAATCGTAGTAATTGATTTCTATATTAGAAAATAGTAAGATTATTAGTTGTCCAGTGATATTTTGTAGCCTCAGTAAGCTTGCACTTGGTGAATGTACATCTCGATTTGTTAGAAAAGATTCACATGTTTATCCACCCTACTTCTTTTGAATGCGATATGATAAACGGTTCAACCACTCAGTCAATATGCAATAGCATTCAGTATTTCTGTATCACTCGATTTTTCAGGTTTGATTTCTGAAAGTTGTATCATGCCTATTGTATGCGTAGGATTATTTCCCTTTGTAGATGCATTTTCCAATTTTCTTTTTTTGATCATTCACTTCAGTTTATTCCATAATAATTATTATAATCTTGTGGATTCACCTCGTTTAATTTCCTAATTTTTTTTTCATTAGTGAGGATTTTATACCATGTAAATTTTGTGAGGGAGACCTACTGGTCAATAATTTTGCTGTGTTATTTTATGTCGTTAGAATGTCGTCTCTAAATTTTGAAAGTATCAATTTCTATCGGTTTTACCTTGGTCTCCTCGAAATTCGCATAATGACTGTGTTTTTATATTATTTATTTATTGCGAATGATAAAGGGTATAACTTTAAAGTTTTAAGACCTTTCAAGTATTCATCGTTCGTTGCGCAAACAAAATAAATACAGATTTTCTAAAGAGCATTGCTGATATTGATGTTGAATCGAGAGTTTATAGATGTGTGGGAAGATCGCTAAAATAATTGTCCGAAAAATACGGTAATTCATTTTGTGACATTAATTTTCTCTTTTTTCAGCATTTGCTATATTGAAATGTTATTTAATGGAACCTCACTGATAGATGCAAATGAGCAGTATGCAATTTTTTTAGAATTTGAATACATGAATATTGAGATGAAAAGAATTCCAAAAAAAAAAAAACAATTTGATTATGGGATGATTTTAATTTAAGCTCGAACTGTCTCCCATTCGTTTCAGGAGTCATTTTTGTAAAATAGTAATGAAGTAGTGGTTTTATTCGGTGATAATCTTGAATATTTTATCAAATCCAAATTTTTTTATTTCAAATCATCTGTGTTTAATAATTTCTGCTGGTTTTCGGTACAATTTACATGTTTATTAAGGGATTTACATATGTTTTTAACAAATTTTTTTTTTAATTACTACAATTATCAAACATTTCATTTATAACAGTCTAATTTTTAATAGAAAAATTCTTGCCTTCTGAACATTTTTGATGAATTACATAAAATATTGCTTCCTATTATTTCATATTTTTTTCTTCGCTTTTTAAGGATAATGTATTTTAAGCAAAATATTTTTTCGTTATTTCGAATTTTTGTTTCATTAAAAAAAAAAAAAAAAAATATTATCCAAAATTTTTGCTGGAAAATGTGTTTTAAATATTCCGACAAAAAAAAAAATAAAGTTCTTCAAAACTATCGCAGTATATTATAGTAATTAACCCTTTCATTACATATACTGCAGTAATTAATCATTTCATTACTTGCTACAACAAATTTATGTATAAATTGTTAAAATTGCGTAATAATTTTAAGCAAATCAACATAATAATAAGTAGATTATCTTAAATTATTGATATCAATCTTTTCTATATGTTAAAATATTAAAATTAATCATACAATGCAATATCTAATGTGAGTTTTTTAGGAAAAAATTTAAAATTTATCATCATTTGATTCATTGAATTTTTTCTTTTTAAATAGACAAGAAAAGGGAAATTAATTCTTAAAGATTTTCATTGTTTGATAAATTAATACAGCTATTTTAATACAGCCAAGCATAGTTACGAAGAAAATTTTTCAAATTTAATTAAAAACAAACAAGCAAACAACTTCATACAACAGAATTATAAAGAAATCAGCAATTAACAGCATTTCGCATTCGAAACTAATTTGATGCAATTCAAAATAAACTTTCATATCATATTAATAAAATGTTTATCATATCAAATTTTAAACATTCATTATTCTTACAAATAATTATCAAATTTATTGATCAGTAATATTAGAAAACTTAACATTAAGGATGTTTTTAAAAAATTTTTAATTTAAATGTGATAATGATAATATGATCCACAACCACTGAAAAAAAGATTATGCATAGTAAATTTAATGTACATAAAATTTTTCTAAACGGTTAAACACAATTAATTGCAAAAATTAAATAGTAAAAGAATTTTGGTAGATTGTAATAATTAACAATCATTCCCCATCTATCAATTGTCAGCTAACAATTAAACAGTCAAATAGTCAATGAAAATTAGTTATCTAAATATGAAAAAATAAACTCCCATTGATGAACACTTTATGCAAAATATTAATTTTTTGTAGCTTTAGCTATCAAGGAATATAAAATTTTCATTTCAAGCTTGGTTGGTATTTGTGATACGATGATTTTCGTTGGTTCGATTTACTGTTTCATTTATGCATGCTAACTTGATTAATTGTTCTTAATTAGTTGCAGTTAAACTTGTTATACATCATTATAAATTAATGATTTGATTTTAATAAGTGTATTTCTTCGAATATTTAATTGCAGTTATTTGTATTTTTTTTTTAAAGTGATTTTTGTTACGTCTACATTTGCATAGATATTATATTATTCTTCAGGACTTTACCGAAATATTTGATGATTCGTGTTAATTGTTAGTCAACAAATGGCTGATTTCTTGGAGCAATGGGTAAATGATGAATTGTATACGCTGGTGGGTTGCAGTGATCGTACTGCTGTGCAATATATCTTAGCACTGGCACGAAAGTCAATAGATGCTGAAGATTTATTAGGGCGTTTGCGAAGTACGGATACAATGGAAGATACGCCAGCTGTGAGGAAATTTATCAGTGAGTTGATTGCACGAGTACCACATGCAGGTTAGTCTGATTTGAGTCTTTTTATCAGGCTGACTTAAATTTAAATGATTATTTAAACGCATGTTTATGTTTTTACATATTCATTCCTTTATTATCTCTTGACTAGTTAACATTTTCCACATAAACTTAGATTCACTGCAGAATATTTTATGGGTTGGATGAACAATTTGCTTTGGAGTGATGGAAAATATAGATGTAAAATATATTGCTAAATAAGGGTAATATGTCAGTTTCGTTGTGTTTTTTAGCTGCCAAAAGAGAAAAAGTTATACAACCCTCAGCAGCTGAATTACGTGCGAAAGAAATCATGCGTCTAAATCGAGATCTAAAGACAATAGAATCTGATGATGAAGACGATGTATCAACTAGAAAACGTGAAAAGGTAGTTTAATTCTGTGGATCATTTGTAGCTGCTATGAAGTAGTTAGAAAGTTATGATTAGAAATTTCCATTGGAGAACTCATAAACATGCTGCTCATCGTGAGTTCATGTTCGTATGCAAGATGCGCTGATTTACAGTTTTGGTCTCGGAAGTCTAGTGAATTTTCCAACTCGATACTGTCTTCGATTTTATGGAGGAGCTTATAAGATTGATTGTAGAAATTTTTTGATATTTTATTTTTTTACAATAGTGATAATTGATTGTCATGATTGCAGAAAAAGAAACGCAAAAGCATAATTCCCATGAAAGAAAGCGCAAGTGATGAGATGGATCGGATAAATGCTGAGGAAGAGCAAGATTTGAGAGAGCGTGATGAATTAGCGGCAAGAATAAGACAACGAGACAAGGAAAAAACTCGAAATATAGTCACAAAGTCAGAAAAAAAAGCTGAGGAAGAAGCCGCGAAGAGGTTGCTTTTTAGATTTTAATTCTCTAAAGCAAATTTTTAATTTTTGAATCAAAAGAAAGGCTGTTTAGGCTAAAGTTGGAAACAAAAGATCGCACTAAGATCGTTTCACAGTTGCGTGAAGAAAGCCGGAAACAGTATTTATCGAAGCGAAAGGATGACAAGCTCGACGAACTTGAAAAAATTGTTGAAGATGATGAACATTTTTTTGCGAATGAACGGTATGTTTTATTTTTAATAACCTTACTGAAAAGAAAAAAAAAAAAATTAGTTTCTGAGAATTCCGTTATACATAGGCAGAATGAACATGTCCAAAAATAAGAGCATATGACTGTAGCAAAAGACTGAATAACAAATCGAAATTTTTAATTGAATCCAATACAAAATTGATTTCAGTTTGACAGAACGAGAAAAAAAAGATATGAAATATCGAAGAGATATCCTAGAATATGCACGGCAGCATGAGCGTGCAGCAGATTTTCTCAAAATTAAGCGTTATCATGTCCCGGATGCTAAAGTGAAATCAGTTCCGCTGGATAGCTTAGAAGATGCAGATGAAATTCCAAAGGGTGATGGAAAGCGTTGGGAAGATGATCGGTTGGCTGCAGCTATCGCTAAGTATGGTGCTAAAGATAAGGTCTGTCTACTTTTCATTTAGCCAAATGGTTTTGATGTAACGTAGAAAAGGTTACAGAAAATTACATATTCAGTGAACTTCAGCGATTTCAGAAGCGGGATGAATTTGAAATGGTTCTAGACGATGAAAAAATTGATTTCATTCAAGCTTTTCAAATGCCGGGGACAGCGGACACTGAGGTTTGTTCTAGTCCTTTTGTTTAGAAAAAAACCACTTCTCAGAAAAAAAAACCTCTTCAAAAATTTTTTTGATTACCTTGACTTTATTTTGATTTAATTTGGAAGGTTTACTAAATGTGTCTTATAACTGTTGTGCAGGAGAAAATGTTTTCGGCTGCTCAGAAAAAGAAAATTACGCTATCTGAGACACGAAAATCGCTGCCAGTTTATACTTATCGAGATGAGTTCATACAAGCAGTTCACGATCATCAGGTGCTTATCATCGAGGGTGAAACAGGTTCTGGAAAAACTACTCAGCTTCCACAGTATTTGTATGAAGCGGTTTGTTAGTTTTCTTTAAATATTGAATGATATATTTTTCTACTTTTTTTTTTTTTTTTTTTTTTTTTTTTCAATAAAAAAAGAACTATATTTTCTATTTTTTACGATTTATTTTACTGGTAAAGATCTTCAATGTGAGCAATTATGTGGTAGTTGATGCAGTTTGGTTATTATTTCACTGTTGCTGAACTATAATATGCATCTGAGAGTACTAGAATGTGTTTATACCCATAATTGTTTTAAAATTTTATCGGCATTTATGTTAAGGGATTCTGTGTCAATAAAATGAAAGTTGGCTGTACGCAACCTCGTCGAGTGGCAGCCATGAGTGTAGCAACGCGAGTAGCTGAGGAGATGGGTGTGAAATTAGGAATTGAAGTAAATGCATCTTGTATTCATCATTTTTTGTCTTTTTTTCGAGTAAATATTTTTTTATCTTTATGGATATAGGAGTTGAATTCATTTTTTTCTTTTTTTTTTTTTTGCTTGTGGAATCATCGATTGTATAGTTCTGCCAGGTCAATTGCGTTTTCTTATTGAGGTTGGTTATTCAATACGTTTCGAAGATTGTACATCAGAAAGAACAGTGGTCAAATACATGACTGATGGTATGCTGCTACGAGAATTTTTGAATGAACCTGATCTAGCGAGTTACAGGTTTGTTAAGCATTTCACATAAACATTAATGTGAAAATGAAATTCTCTGAGTGCTTTTAAACATTGTTATCTCCAAAAATTTTTTGTGAACAGTTTTCAGTGTTATTATCATTGATGAAGCCCATGAACGAACGCTTCATACGGATGTTTTATTTGGTTTAGTGAAGGATATAGCACGGTTTCGTAAAGATCTCAAACTTCTGGTTTCTTCCGCAACTCTTGATGTTGAAAAATTCTCTACATTTTTTGATGATGCTCCAATTCTTAGGATACCTGGTCAGTTAACATATTTCTTTATGTCTTCCTAAACTGCAAAATTATTGGATTTTTATTATATTGAATTAATAGGATTTTAGGCAGACGCTTCCCAGTGGATATTTATTATACAAAAGCTCCTGAAGCTGATTATCTTGATGCAGCGATGGTTTCGATTTTACAAATTCATTTAACACAACCACTTCCGGGTGATATTCTCGTTTTCTTAACTGGACAAGACGAAATTGAAACACTGATGGTTCGATTTTGACGATAAATCCTAGTTTCTGATACTCAGACATCCAAAATTATTTGGTATATAGAATCTTGTTTTCCTTTCCGCTTGCGGCACCATATCAAATAGGGCGCTGTTGTTCTACAAAAGTCACAGTTTCATACTTTTTGAGTTTTTGAAAATAAGAACTAATATTTGGGATAGAAATTTATAAAATCATGTTTTCTAGGAATCTTTATTAGAGAGAACAAAATATTTTGGGAAGAAAATTAAAGAGCTTATTGTTCTGCCTATTTATGCGAATCTGCCATCCGATTTGCAAGCCAAAATTTTCGAACCAACTCCACCAAATGCTCGAAAGGTATGCTCTTTTTCTAGTCAATTTTATGCTTATATAAAAAGTTTTATTTATGAATTCTGATTCTTATAAATATTTAAATTTGAGGTTGTTTTGGCCACAAATATAGCTGAAACCTCGGTGACAATCGATGGAATTTGTTACGTGATTGATCCTGGATTCAGCAAACAGAATTCTTTTGACGCTAGGAGTGGTGTTGAACATTTGCATGTTGTCACTATTTCAAAAGTTTGTCGACTTTTAGATTTTTGGTTCTCCAATTTTTAGTGTTTATTCTTTATGTGGAAGGATATTCTTCGCATATCTATTATTATCCCTGTTTTCTTATTCATACTATTTCAAACGCCATAAATATTTGTAGAGAAAAGCAGTATTTTAGGCTGCTGCTAATCAACGTGCTGGAAGAGCTGGTCGAACTGGCCCTGGAAAGTGTTTCCGTTTGTATACAGCTTGGGCTTATAAAAATGAATTAGAAGATCAGCCTATTCCAGAAGTAATTCAGTTTTCCGTTTTTACCACTAAATTGTTGAACGAATTTGAAAGAATTACCTTTGTTCTTTTAAGATTTGATGAACTTTAAAAATAATTATAATTTTGAAATGTAAGATGAAGACATCGTTAAAATAATTTTTTTTAGATCCAAAGAACGAATTTGGGCAATGTTGTACTGATGTTGAAAAGTTTGGGCATCCATGATTTAGTTCATTTTGACTATCTGGATCCACCTCCACAAGAAACTTTAGTAATTGCGCTAGAACAATTGTATGCACTTGGAGCTTTGAATCATCGCGGTGAACTGACCAAACTAGGAAGACGTATGGCTGAATTTCCATGTGATCCGTGTATGAGTAAAATGATTATCGCATCTGAAAAGTACGTAATTGACTGAAAGAAATGAAAGGAAAATAGTTTTCCAATTCCTGAGTTATCCAAAAGAAGGCTGAAAATTTCTCAAGAATTTTTTTTTCGTATTGCTGTTTCCTTCATTCATTATCCTTTTGGCCTAATTCATTTCACTGTCATCAATAACTTTGCAATTAATCATTTACTAAATTATGAGATGTTCTATGGAAGCTTGTTAAAGATATGGATGTTCTGAAGAAATCATCACTATTGCTGGAATGCTATCATGTAATGCAGCAGTATTTTATCGGCCTAAAGCCTTGGTTATCCATGCAGATGCTGCTCGAAAAGGTTTTTGGGTACCAGGTGGAGATCATCTTACTTTGCTCAATGTTTATAATCGCTGGCGAGATACCAACTATTCATCGCAGTGGTAGGTGTTGAAAGAATTCTGTTTTTTTATGTAACGTTGTTTCAAATACTGCAAATCGAAATTGCTGTTTTGAAATTTTTTTTAAAAAAAGGTGCATGGAGAATTTTGTTCAGTATAGAACGATGAAAAAAGCTCGGGATGTTCGTGATCAGCTTGAAGGTTTATTGGAAAGAGTTGAAATAGACCAGGTTTGTGTTTAAGCTTTTATGATGGATATCTTGGCTTGATTTCATGCTGGTTTTGTAAAATTTAAATATAAAAAAAAACGAAAAATAAATACAAATATAAACCTGGTTCCGAGGAAGCGGATATACAAAAGAATAGGAAGTCTTACTGAATACAATTTTATAAACAGTTTTTTTTAATCTTTTTTTTTAATCCAAATTTTATATTTATAACTGTCGTTATGTAAATTCCCTAGTAGGAGGTCAATCACTGGTTGGTAAGAAGTGATATTGCATCGTGTTTTACTTTTCTTTTGCTATCTATATAATATATTTTTTTGTACGATACTGTAAATACGTTTCTGTAAATATTTTTTCTTGTTTACGACACTGGATATAAATGACCAATAATTTAATTGGATTTTGGATTAAGATAATCATTTTAAGGTTTCAAACAATGATTCAATAGCAATTCGAAAAACAATCACAGCAGGATATTTCTACAATTGCGCCAAACTTGATAGTAACGGGCACTATAAAACTGTTAAGCATAAGCACACAGTTCATATTCATCCAAATTCCTCTCTGTTCGAAGAAACTCCTCGATGGATGATTTATTTCGAGCTTGTGTTCACATCGAAGGAATTCATGCGCGAGGTAAGGATTAAGGTGTTTATGGGCTTTCAGAAAATTAATGCTTCGAATCGAGATTTAAGACCATAGATGTTTGTTGCACTATCACTAATGAAAAATAAAAAGTAATTTATGCTTTTTGCACAAAAAAGAGACCATTTTTTGATAGTTTTTTTTTTTTTGATTTTTTTTAAGCAACTAGATTTTAAGGTCATCGAAATCGAAAGCAGTTGGTTAACCGAAGTCGCACCACACTATTATAGAGCCAAAGAACTAGAAGATTCGACGAACCGAAAAATGCCGAAACAAAAAGGAAAAGCTGCAATTGAATTGTCATCATTGTGATCTTAAGGAGTTTTTTGCTCATGTTTTGAAAACTCTGGAAATTTGCGTGCCATTTTCAAAACTTGATATGACTGATAATGGGTTGCGGATAATGGTCAAAATATCCTTAATTGTAATGTTAAGTAAGGATTTTCTGCTGCTGGAAAAATTAATTACTAATTTCCACAAAAGGTTGTTTCCATTTTTTGTTATTGTTTGTACGTAAATCTTGCATAAAAGCATTAAAAAATTCCTCATCATTAGTATTTTGTTGTTCTGGCACGATTTTATATATTTCAGATATTTTTGTGAGGTGGTTAACTCATTTTTTAAAGTGTGTGCTTCTTACATGTAATGTAATACTATGAAAATGAGGATTTATTGAAGTTTTAACTTAATTAGTGTAAGGGTTAATTACCGTGGGTCGCCGTTTGCTTTAAGTAGGATATGCATTTAATTTTTGGTAAATTTTGCTCTAATTTTTTAATCGTTGTTGAGGATAATGGAACAAATTGCTGTCCCCGGATCTGAACAAGGAACGTTGTCAGAATCACTTACAACGCCACAACATTTTGAAGCACCGGAAACACCGCAGCAAAAGGCATTGTTAAATTTGGTATTCAGGTCGATGAAACGGACACATGATCTCTTTTATCATGACTATGGAACTTTGCCTGAATTGAATTCCGAAGCGTAAGTTTTATATATGGGAGCTGGGAATCGAGATGGTGGATTGGCGTACTTCCAGTCTATACTAACAGAATTAAGCCGCGAGGCTTAATTCTGTTAGTGCGCAATGGATGAGGGATTTAAACAATGAAATAAAAAGTCTGTATCCCTCAGAAGATTCACTATAAATCCCGACGAACAATGGGAGAAATTTTTGGTTATTGTACTATCAGTGTGAATATATCAATATGAGACTGTAAAAAGTAGAACTGCACCATACTTCTTACTGGAATTTTTAATATGGCTTTCTTTCAGTGATAGTTTATGGCGAGCCGTGAAGTTAAAATCAGAATATGGAAGTGTTATGGAAGAAGTGAGTGAAGCGAAGAGGAAGAAAGAGGAGGAACTACTAAAATTGCCTATTAATTCAAGTGTTGTAGGTAGTTCGGGTGAAGTCTCAAGGACACTTGCTATAACTACTGGTGCAATAGAAGCCACAAAGTCAGTGCTTTTCGATATCTAAAGTTTTTTATCTGCAGTTCTGCTGTGATTTTATTTTTACATAGCAGGAAATGCTTTCAGTGAAAAAGACAGTTCTGATTTAACAACATCCAGTCGATCAGACGATAACACGATGCGTGCAGTGTTACCTGCTCGAGCTCCTGTCATGATCAAACCTAAATGGCACGCACCATGGAAACTATACAGGTATCCGTATAAGTAGAAGCATTACTTTGAATTTGATATTTCCTACCGTCAATGCCAACAGTGTAATAGTTTTATTATTCATTTCAGGGTGATTTCGGGCCATACAGGTTGGGTGAGATGTGTGGATGTTGAACCGGGTAATGAATGGTTTGCGACAGGTGGTGCAGACCGAATTGTAAAGGTTTGTAATAATTTTGCTCCTATAGTGCCCTAAGTTTCTGCACAGATTGTTCGTTGTGAACTGAAACATAGACTTAATTTTACAATGGAAGATATAAATAATCGGTCGCTTTTGTTAAACGGTTGCTGTTGTTATCTCTCTATTTCTTATAGATTTGGGATCTCGCAAGCGGAAAATTGCGATTATCATTAACAGGACACGTAAGCGCCGTCAGGTGCTGTAAAGTTTCACGAAGACATCCATTCCTTTTCACGGGTGGTGAAGATAAGCAGGTGAACTGAATTTATTTGTTCTAAATTAGACTGTTTATTCGCCTTGACTTATAAAGAATGTTTTAATTTTATTGTCGACAGATAAATGTAACCCTAGTAGATATTCCTGATATTCATGAACAAGAATTACCTACCGCGATTTTCAGGTAAAATGTTGGGATCTCGAGTACAACAAAGTCATCCGCCATTACCATGGACATCTGAGTGCTGTTCAGGATCTTACTATTCATCCGACAATTGATATTTTAATTACCTGTGCTCGGGATGCTACTGCACGAGTAAAAATTTTGAGGATACGATCTAAAATAAAATGCTGAGACTGTGTCTATTCTTCATTATGGGTTGCAATACTTTTTCATAAATAAATGGTGAAGATTTTTATATATTTTCTAATTTGCCAGATTTAGGTTTGGGATATGCGAACTAAAGCTCAAGTCCATTGTTTGAGTGGGCATACAAACACAGTTGCAACAGTTATTTCACAGGAAGTTGATCCTCAGGTTATCACAGGTAGTCATGATTCCACAATCCGCCTTTGGGATCTTGCTGCTGGACGAAGTATATGTACTTTAACACATCATAAGGTTGTTTTTCGCACTAATTTTTAATAGTTGATTTAATTTCTACTAGTTGCGGATGGTTTAAAAAGTAAAAATGACTTTAGCAGGATTCTTTTTGTAAGACCAACACAATATATATCTTACAAAACCCAGTACTTGGTCTGTCGCACTAATGCCAAAGACCTCTCATTTAGTTCCATGAGCAGATAAAGTTTATTTTTGTAGATTTCAAAATGAAGCGCTGCTAGTATACTGAGAGATGAATTTTTTTCAGAAAAGTATCCGAGCGTTAACATTGCATCCGTCACTCTTCATGTTTGCATCGGGAAGTGCTGACAATATAAAAGAATGGAAGTGTCCGGAAGGAATATTCATCCAAAATTTATCAGGGCATAATGCAATCATTAATTCACTTGCATGTAATGAAGATGGTGTTCTTATTTCTGGAGGTAATTTTTGATGTCTAAGACAATACGAAGTAATTTTTTCTTTGATATTCCTTCCGCTGCATTTACATTGAATAGAAGATAAAGCTTATTCATTGATTATTATTTTGATAGGGTTTTTACAATATGAATTCTAAAGAGAAAAATTCGAGTTTAACGAAGTACTAATTCTAAATGATAATATATAATGTCGTGATTTCCAGGTGATAATGGTTCTCTGAATTTTTGGGATTGGAAGAGTGGTTTTTGCTTCCAGCGTGAACAGACTAAAGCTCAGCCAGGTTCAATAGATTCAGAAGCTGGAATATTCGCAGTTACATACGACCAATCAGGTTCCCGATTAATTACTGCAGAAGCTGATAAGACAATCAAAATGTACAAAGAAGATGAGAATGCGGTTTGTTTTCTTTTATTCTTATTTTTTTTCTTATTTCTTATATTTCTTATTTTTATTCTTAATCTAATGAATCCGATTGCTCCTTGTAATAACTGAAGAATGCGAGTTTTTTGTCACAAAAAAACATAATCGATAGCTCTGCCATCATTCTCTTTTCAGTACAAAAGCGGAAAAAAAATAAATTGGCTGTTAATTGATTAAATTTTTTCACTAAGAAATTTATTTGCAGACCGAAGACACGCATCCGATCCTCTGGAGACCAGAAATTTTGCGGCGAAAAGCCTACTAGAATTTGCTATATACTGAACCATTAAATCTTATGACTGATTTATTTCTTGTACTTCGTTGATTTTTTGATCTTTTTGTTCATTTAATGTTTCTCTCATAATTTTGCATCTCAGCAAAAATTTCCCTGTTTTCGAAAAAGAAAAAAAAACAGTACTGCAATTTTTTCTTTTTGTTTTTTGATTTTATCTCATTTTACGTTCTCTTCCTGCTTCCTTCATTGGTTTTTTAATTTTATTGGCAAACAGTATTTTACGTTCTCGTGCATTCTGCAAGAAATTGGAGTTTGAGACACGAAGTTTTCCATTTCCAAAGTTTCCATTTATGAAGTAATTTGGTAGAGGAAAAGGTTTGCATTACATGCAAGTTTGTAATATTTGTTATAGAAAGTGGCTTGGATGTTTTGCTGATCATTCGAGTTCTTAAAAAAAAGATCTTAGTTATTGCTTTCGCATAGATGCCTACTTTGTAGAGACGTTACCATACATGTTCCATATTTTCATAAGACATCTCACTTAGTGAATCACTTGTACCTTCAAAATATTTTCAGAATTTTTAACGTCATATATCACAAGTTAGCAGTGGTAATTGCTGCCAGCTATTATCAGAATTAAAGCAACATCATTGTGGTAAGATTATGCTTAGGATAGTATAGAAATGTACAATATTTTGCATATTTTTTGACCAGAAGAAGTTAACTGAAATTAAGTAATAAAACTTAAAGAGTAGATGAAATAGAAAAGTAACAAGACCAACAAACAAAGGGTTGTGTGATGAAATGATAATGAGCAAAGGGTTGAAAAGGAATTGAAAAATAACAAAAGGCATCAATCAGCATTCATTTCTCTGACAATTATAATCAAAAACATTATAATATTTATCAGCAATTGAATGTTTATCAGCTCATTACTTCAGCAATTTCACCGAAACCTATTTTACTAATAGCAAATGAAGAAATAAAATAAAAACTTCCTTAATAAAGATCATTTTTTGAATACATAAAAAAAAATATTCGTTATAAAGCATAAAAATATGCTCTCCATGCGATAAAACGAATTATTCTTCTAGAATAAGTCGAATTTCTGGAATTGAAATATCAACCATTAATCATTAAATTATTCTATAGAAAAATTCGTAGCCTATTCTCTATCCTTTTTACGAAAAATTAATCCAGCAGACTTCAAGAGATGAATTAATCGGTAATCGACAATTGGTAATCATTGCCAGAATTAAATCATTGGAAATTTTAGTAGCTTGCAACACTAATATCCGATATGAAATTTGATAATTCAATCGATTGCATATCAACTAGGATATTTTGGCCACTAGTGGAATTCAGCTATTTCAATCTTCGCTATTTTGTTCCGGAAAATTTTGTGCTATCACACTAATGGTGTGAAAAGGTTTATTTCTCGTTGTGATCTAGCGGGAAGTAAGTCATAGAAAATTCTAGATCTTTGATCTCATCAGTTCTTGATACCGTTCATTGTTTGCTGCCAGTATTGCAAACATGCTCCCTTGGAGAACGGTGAGCTCAGTTTTCCGTTCCCCTCTCCTCCTCCTTTCCCCTTTCTCCCTCCTCTTCTCTCTCTACCTCCTCTTTTCCTCTTTCCTTCCTTCTGCCCTCTCCTTCCCTCCTTACCTCTTTCTCCCTTTTTCTCCTCTCTCCCATCCTCTCCCTTCTGTCCTCTTAGTCTCGCCTCTCCCTCCCTCCTGTCCTTTCTATCCCTCTTCTCTCTCCCTCCTGTCCTCTCGCTCCCGCCTCTTCTTTCTTTTTTGAAGAGGGTTAAATAAATCGCTTTGTGATAGATTCAATTCCTCCTGATTTTTTTTAATTCAATTTCGTTTCCGTGAATAAATTTGTTGACCATACTAGCAATTTTTCCCGTCCAATAGGAAATGATTAGGTGGTGATGAAAAATGCGATGAATGTAGGTGATCTGGGTAAAATGTTCTGTTGATTCATGAAAAATATTTTGAATTATTTTGTGGCTAACATCTCACAATTAATATTTGTTTGATTTTGCTTAGATGAAGTTTTGTGATGAGAGATTGTTTCTGAAGCTAGAATCTTTGATCAATGAAAACAGGACATGAACAGTAGAAGCAATGCAAACCTCTCTCGATCTTAAAATGGATAGTCTTATTCAGAACGTTCGATCAAGAACTGCCGACAATTTTAAGGCTGGACTTTATAGTTCTCTTAAATTTGTAAAACATTTTTTATTTTTCGTGCTAGGAAAATGGAACTCAAAGTCGGACATGCGATTAATTTCCAATGCTTTATTTATTCCTTCAATAAAGTTTGATCTTTAGTTGATTAAAATCTTTTAAACGATTAAAATCTTGAGAAATGCACAGTTACTCACAGCACTTATTTGCCAATTCTACAGTTACTATTTGATTTTCTCCAAATTTTTACAGGTATTCGAAAATGTGTTAATGGTATAGGGATCCTACCATTGCTGGTAGCTACCACCATGTTTTAAATCGATTACAAACAACTTTAACAGGTAAAGCAGGAGAATAATGCGTTGGTATTATTTGCTAGATATAAAAATTTAGCGAGTGTGCATGGTAAATATTGTGCATTATAACATAAGGATCATAACTTTACAAAAAAAAAAAAAAAAAAAGAAACTTTATTAAAAAATTCATCTCACTTTTGTTTGGAGCGCCTTATTCCTTTCAAATGAGAAAAAAAATCAAAAACATTACAAAAATACTTTTAGAATATATTTCTTCGTTCTACTACTAATTGTTTTTTTTTGGATATATATAGATAATATACAAAAATACTTTTAGAATATATTTCTTTGTTCTACTACTACTAATTGTTTGGATATATATATATAGATAATATACAAAAATACTTTTAGAATATATTTCTTTGTTCTACTACTACTAATTGTTTGGATATATATATATATAGATAATATACAAAAATACTTTTAGAATATATTTCTTTGTTCTACTACTACTAATTGTTTGGATATATATATATATATGATAGATAATATACAAAAATACTTTTAGAATATATTTCTTTGTTCTACTACTAATTGTTTTTTTTTTTTTTTTTTTTTTTTTTTTTTTTTTTTTTTTTTTTTTTTTTTTTTTTTTTAAAAGATTAATTTATAGTATATATAAATAAAAAAAAAAAAACAAATCGTCCAATCAAAGGATAAGT